TTACCTCTAAGGCACAGGTTTTGGCTTGGGGATCGGTTGATTTCAAGGAAAATTCCATTTTTTGTTTTGGCTCATTTTTTCATAAATAACCATTAATATAATTAGGTAAGGTTTTTTTTGGTAATTTTTCACAAAATGCCAGATATTTTTTAGTTATTTTTTCTTTATCGCTAATGGCATTATGAAGTATCCTTTTGGCAGTCGGATTTTTTGGATAAGTAACTAATCCTCTGGTTAATTTATCAAGGCGGTGAGTAGCATTCAAAGAAAAATATTTTTGACTTAGTTCTTGGTATTTTTGTGGATTATGCTGGTAAAAATAATATTGGACTGCTTTGTCTAGTTCGGGCATAGATATGTTATGCTCCTTTACGACGATAATAATGTTTTCATCTTCATAAACAATTTCTGGATTTATTTCTGAATTTTCCGGTTTTAGCGAAATATTGGATTGAGAAATTTTGAGCGAATTGTCATAAATAATAATTTCTTCACCCGTTTTTAAGCGATGATGATAATAGCGAACATCCTCACCATCAATTTTTATTTTTTTGGTTCGGAATAGTTTATAAATTAACTTTAAAGGAGTAGTTTTAAACCTTTTTTTTAAGAAACTAATTAGTGTTTGATTATCTTCTTCTTTTGCAATAGTAAAGTTGGGCATTAAATTAATTTACTAAATTTTTTAATTAGTTAGTGTTTTATATAAATAAGTATCTTTTTTTCAGCCAACTCCTTAATCTTTTCTTGGAGTTGTTTTTGATTATCTTGGTCTAAGGCATTGTCCGCTTCGTCAAAGAGAAAAATTTGCGAGTTTTGTTTAGTTTGCAAAATTTGGTTAATGTTGACTAATTGCTTTTGTCCAGTCGAACCTTCTTCAATTAGGGTATCATGAGTACAGTAAGCAATATTGTTTTCTCGTCAGTGTTTTAAATTAATGTCCTTATGTAAGTCGTAATTATTTCCACGTTCGTCTTCAATAATTATTTGTCCTTTCTGGGGAGTTATCAATCCCAATAAGAGAAATAAAACAGTGCTTTTGCCAGTGCCATTCTTACCGATTAAGCGATTTATCTTAGCAGTTGTGAAAGTGCGATTGTAATTTTTTAAAACTCAGTCAGATTGTCCCCGATAGCGAAAAGAAACATTTTCTATTCTAATGGTGCTGACAGGAATGTTTAGTGGTAGTTTGATTTTAGAAAGATTATCATTTTTTTCTGGAAGGGAGAGGAAATTATTGATTCGTGCTTTTGATGATGAGTAGTCAGCGTAATCTCAAAAGCAGTGAAAAATTTCCCCAAAGTTTTCAAAAATAAATCACATTCCCACTAAGTTATTCTGAGCAATCCCAAAGTTACCACTGATAAATAATAAAAGAAAGGGAAACATTTCGGATAATCAGGGGTCAGGAATAGTTCTATTGAGTGATTTGGTCGGACTGAAAGAAAAAAGCAAGTTTTCATTTTTTTTACTTATTTTCCGTTGTTCAAGGCGATATTGAGAAGTTAAACCCATACTATCAATTAAAATGGCTTGACTGGTTTCTTTTTCCCGTGCCGCTCATTCCTTGGTTACTTCTTGCTTGTATCTTTTGTCATTTCTTAAAATTAACTTAGTAAAAAAATAACTAACGATATTAATTAAGATCAATCAACTAAAAGAAAAAATAGCTTCTTTAACTCCCATTTGGCTAAAATTACCTCATTTTATTCAAAGTAGCAGAATAATTGTAAGAGCGCTATGATAAGCATGATTAGGTAGGTGTTCCCAATAACTGCCAATTTCGCGGGCATCTAATTCGACCAAAGTGCTAATTTCTTTTTGGCGGGCTTGTTTTTCTTCCAAAGGTAATTGCCGAAACTTATCTAATAAACGATTTTTGACGTAATTTCCTCCCCTGATTCTTAATTTTTCTTCTCACAAACTAGAAAAATAAAAAGTGAGAGAGTAGAGACAAATTAATATTAATCCCCAAATGGCAAACTGTTTTAAGGTCAAGTTAGGAAAATAATTTTCTAGTTTTTCCGGTAATAGTGGCGAGAAATCACTATTTCCAATTAATTTTTTTTCAATAATATTGCTGATAGTTGCTAAGACAAAAGTCGAAAGCACTGTTCGAACAGTAGTGATTAAAAAATGTCTAATTACTTCAAATTTAAATTTCTTATATAATGTTCAAAAGCCAATTTTTTCGGCTAGAATTTTTGGTTTGGGTGGAGAATTTTTTCGGTTATTCGTCATAAAACTTTATTAATTAGTTTTTTAGTTTATGAGCGTTGTTCTCCCCAAAAGTATCGAAAAAAAAATGAGAGAAATTACTCGTCTTCTCGAAAAATGAAATTACGAATATTACATCCTTAATCAGTCTAGTGTTGAGGATGCAGTTTATGATAAGCACCTAAAAGAATTACGGGAATTAGAAACAAAACACAATTTTATTTTTCCTGGTTCTCCCACCCAAAAGGCCGGTCATACGGCCAGCAATAAGTTCCGTTCCGTTATTCGTCAAATCCCCATGTTGAGTTTGGATAGCGTCGATAATTACGAAGGTTTGTTGAAGTTTGATGAAAGAGTAAAAAAAATATTGAAAACCGAGGAAGAGGTAGAATACATTTGTGAATGGAAAATTGATGGTTTATCAATTAGTCTGATTTATCGTAATCATCAATTAGTACAGGTCAGCACCCGCGGTAATGGAACCATTGGCGAGGATATAACCTTCAATAAAGAATTAATAAGAAACATTCCTTTTTCCTTAAAAAGAGTTGCCAATTGTGAAGTACGCGGGGAAGTTTACATGAAAAAAGAGGAATTTGCTCGCCTGAATGAAGAATTAAAAAAGTCTGGTAATAAATTGTTGGCCAATCCCCGCAATGCAGCATCCGGTAGTTTGCGAACACTTATTCCTTTGCAAAGCAGGAAATTACACTTTTTTGCTTATCAATTATTCAATAGTGATTTACTAACCCAATCGTCTTGTTTAAAGGAACTAGAAAAATTAGGATTTGCAGTTAGTCCTGATCATCGAGTAGTTAGGGGCATAAAAAAAGTTGGGAAATTTATTGAAAAGCAAGAAAAGAAACGGGAAAAATTAGATTTTGAAAGTGACGGTATTGTAGTTAAAGTGAACGATTATAGTCAATATGAAAAATTAGGTCAAACCGGTCGCTTCCCTCGTTGAGCCATGGCTTACAAATTTCTGGCTTCGGTTGCTTCCAGTCAAATAAAGAATATCTACGTTGAAGTAAGTCGCAGCGGACGAATAACTTATGTGGCTGAATTAGAACCAGTAATTTTACAAGGCAGTAAAATAAGCAAGGTGACTCTTCACAATTATACTTTTATTGCTAATTTAAAATTGAATATTGGTGATGAAGTAGTAATAAAAAAGGCTGGTGACGTCATCCCACAAATAATCCAGATAATTAAGTTGAATAAAAATGGTATTTGGTTGCCTCCCATTGATTGTCCTTCCTGCGGTTCAATTCTCAAATGGAACTCGACCAATATTTATCAAGTCTGCACCAATAATGATTGTCCGCAAAAAGTCGTTAATTATCTTACTCATTTTGCTTCCAAGACTGGTCTAGACATAAAAGGGGTTAGCGAAAAAATAATTAAAAAATTCTATGAAAATAATTTACTAAGCCAACCCACTGATTTTTACCAGCTTTACCTAAAAGAGAAGCAATTATTAAAACTAGAAGGACTCAAAAAAAAATCAATAAATAATATTTTGACTTCAATTGAAGAATCAAAAAAAAAACCTTTCGCTAATTTACTAACTGCATTGGGTATTCCTCTGCTTAGTTCGGTAAAAGCCCGCAAATTAACCAATTTTTATCCTAATTTGACTAGTTTTCTTGCTGCTGCGAAAAATGAAGAATGAGAGAAGTTTCAGGAAATTTTAGGAGAAGAAACCCAAAAAGAATTGAAAAATTATTTTCAAAAACCCAAAAATTTGGAACTAGTGGAAGAACTGAAAAAAATTTGAAATGGTTAAACAATTATTTTCTTTTGTTGCAAGAGGATTCATCAGACTTTCTTTCTTGACTTTTCTTTTTACACTTTTTTCGTCAACTTTTTAAGACGGACAGCAAAACACAAATAAATAATCATAAAGTT